CCCTCCGCGCTCGGGACAGCTCCAGCTGCCGGCCGCGCCTCCCGCAGCCTGCGTGCCCAGCGCCCAGGCCGGGACAGGGCGGCTGGGGCTGATGGAGGGTGCGGACGTCTGGGGATGGTCCCCCTGGGGAAGGGAGCCGCTGGGCAGCTCCGACTCCACTGTCGCTGGGAAGTCACGCGCGCACCCTGACTTCTCCCGAAGTCCTTCCAGGGAGGACGGGCCGGGGCGGGGAGTGGGGGACTGGGTACAAGCGGGATGGAGGGCGTCTGTGCGGTTTCGGGTGGTTAGGCTTACCCCTCCATCTTCCCACCCCCCACTTCCTCACCCCTGCGCCCCCGAGGTCCCCCAGGGGCTCGGGAAGGAATCCCACCCGTGGCCACAGCCCTCCCGGAGCGCGGTCGCCTGGTTCCCATTAGAGCAGTTCCGGTGCCTGCTTCGCAGGGGGCGGGGAGGGTGACCCCCCACCCGGATCCTCCAGGTCCTAAAGGTAGCAGGGTTTCCCGAGCCCTCCAGGCAGGGCGCTTGCAGGGGAGAGGGGCAGGGAAAGGGTGGCTTGGGGAGCTAGCCTACAGCCGACCGCGTCCGATTCCAAGAAAGCCCCAGAGCGAGTCCAGCGGCGCAGAGGCCCAGCCAGGGACATCTGTTCTTTGCCCCCCAAACTTGTGAGGCAGTCTGCACCTCAGCTCATGGCGCTCAGGCCTTCCTTAAATCCCAGGCATCAGGATCCAAGGAAAGGATTTCAGTGGCTCTGGGGTCGCCTGAAGAAGCACGGGAGCCGGGGGTTCACGGAGAGAGGAAGGAGCGGAGGGACCGCGTCCCCTTGCGCCGGGGCTGGGGACAAGGGGAGGTGAGGGGCTGGGGGTGGGTGATCTCTGCGTTGGGAGCTTCCCATGCCCCTGGATCCCGAGTTCATCTTGCAACCCGGAGCTTCAGGGGCCTTTGCAGCATCCAGCTGTGAGGACAGGGGTGCAGCTGGCCATGCAGGTGTGGCCTCCGGGTGAGGCCAGCTGGGCAGAAGGGACAGGAGCCTGCGCATCCCAGAGGGGTGAGGGGAGGAGCGAGGAAACCAAGACAGTCTCCCCAGGGAGGTGCCAGGGGGCCCCCGGATGCCAAGGAGAACCGGAGCTCTGTTACCCAGGACGCAGAGGGGAGAGGGCTGGAAGGAGGGACAAACCTCCAGGGCAGTCCCCACCCGAGGAGCATGCCCAGTGGCCGACAGGACAGGACAGCCATGCTGGGAGGAAAGTTCATTTTTCAAGGGACCTGGGACACAGTATCACTGAGAAAGCTGGGACCCGTACATTTCTGCCTCCTCCACCCAGCCATCAACAAATCATTTGCTTCTATTCAGCAGACAGAGGGTGTCCAGCTGCCACCAGCTCCTCAGCCCAATTCACAAGAGGCTGGTCCATACGCTGCTGGCCTCTGCCACTGTCTCTTTCCCAGATGGAGTTCTTTTTTTTTTTTTTTGTACCAAGAATCAAACTCATGACCTCACACTTGCCAGGGGTTGTGCTGCTGAGCTGTATCCCCGGCCCTCAGATGGTTTTTTGTTCTTGACCTTCCTTTTTTATTCACAGCCTCCCACACCCTTGGTTTGGATCACAGTGGCCCCCTGGTGGGGTAAGTGCCACCTGTTTTGGGGGTGGGCATGGGCACGTGTTTCCTCTGAAACGAGGGTCTCCCCCACCTTGAGATGACAAAGTACGGAGACCCAGGAGCCAGGCTGGGTCTGCCTACAAAACTGACATCAGCAAAAACCCTCACTGGTCTCTGAGAGCCCCGCGCCAAGGTGCGCAGTCCGGTGCAGCCAGGTCTCTTTGAGAGGGAATCATTTATGACAGAAAGGCATCTAAGAGGTCGTTGTGGGTAGGAGAACGAATGGTTGGTGCACACCTACAGTTCCAGCTGCTTAGGAGGCTGAGGCAAGAAGGTAGCAAGTTAGAGCCCAGTCTGGGCAATTCAGCAGTTTAGCCAGACCCTGTCTCAAAATAAAAAGGAGCTGACTGTGGAGAGTCACAACTATAATCCCAGCACTCTGGGAGTCTGAGGGCACAAGGAGACAAGTTCAGGTCCAGCCCGGGTAATTTAGAAACTTAGCAAGACACTGTCTCAAAAAAATAAACAAATAAATAAACTGTGGTTATCCCCAGTACCGCACAAAGGGGGTTGCTGGGGCCGAAACACAGCACTTCCTAGGTTCAGTGACCGGCACGGAGAGGCAGGGGAAGAAGAAGGAAGACATTTCACTCCCTGCCTCCACAGCGGAAGAGACAGGAAGTGCCCATCCCCAAAGCCACACGATAATCACGATTTCACCTGCTGGAAAGACCGGAGCATCAGGAGAGGTGGTTGTTTTCGAGAGTGGAAGGTGACAGCAGGAGGGACCGTTTGGGGTACCAGGAGAACCTCATGGTCAGCGTTGTCAGAGCTGTTCCTTCCTTCTGGTACCAGCTTGTTATGGTTCAGATCTGGGCTTTCCCCCAAAGCCTCCTGCACGCATCAGCAGCGCTCTGGGAAGGTGATTGGCCCTGGGGACCCATCGCTAACTCGCTGCTAGGAGGCGGGGCCTGATTGGAGGAGGTGTCACTGGGGGCGTGGCCTGGCCTGGTCTATCTTCCCCCGTAGCTCCTCCCTTTACGCGCTGCTTCCTGTGCACCATGAGGTGAGCAGCTTTTCCTCCGCCAGGCCCCTCTGCCCAGCTGCCCTGCCTTGGAGCCGCTGACCAGGTGCTGAACCCTCTATAGACCACCAGCCAAAATGAACCTCTCCTTCTGTAAGTGGCAAAGGTCGGACATTTCACCCTAGCAAAGAGGAAAGTGACTAAGACACAGCTCTTGCTGCTGGTGCTGAGCATAACCACATTAGCGTCATCTCCGCTTATTGCAGGCTTAAGTTTGGGATTCCTCAAGAGGCTGCAACCCTTCCCTAACTGGAAGTCATGCCCAGGAGAGGAACCCAGGGATTCCAGCAGGAAACGAGAAGCCCCCAAAGGTTTTCAAACCTGGGCCGAGAGGTACAACTCAGGTACATTCCGGGGAGACCCTACTGTTAGGCAGTACAGAAGCGTAGACAGGGTGCTGGCAGGAACCACAGACTTTCGAGCGGGAGGGCTTGGCTACAGTACAGTACTGCTCAAAGAGGGTGAAGAGGGGCAGGCACTGGAGATGCCGCGAGGGGCAGCGAGGGGAGGGAGACTGCAGGGGAACAAGAAGCGGGGAGTCCAGGGGCAGAAGCAGAAATGGGCCTCCGCGGGGGGGGGGGTGCCTCCTCCTGGGGTGGGTGTTCAGCCACAGCCGTTCCCGTTCCAAGCTGAGTGATCGTGTGGAACCTGCAGGTACTGTTTTTTGTATTCTATGTTGAAAACATAATAACTAATTTATAATTTTTGTTTTGTCTTTTTGAGACAGGGTCTTGCTCTGCAGTTCAGGTGGGCCTTGAACTCACTTTGTAACGCAGGCTGGCCTCAAACTCGTAGTACTCCTGCCTCAGCCTCCTGAGTGTTGGGATTACAGGCGTGTGCCGCCATGCCTGGCCTAATTTATAAATTTAAAAACTGTTCAGCCAAGCATAGTGGTCCACACCTGTGATCCCAGCACTTGGGAGGCTGAGGCAGGAGGATCACCTAGCTACATAGTGAGTTCAAGGCCAGCATGAACTACATAGTAAGACCCTGCCTCAAAAACAACAACAACAATTGTGCTCAGAGGCTTTATAAAAAAGAAATAGCTGGGCATGGTGGTCCATGCTTGTAATCCCATCATTTAGGAGGCTGGGGCAGGAGGATTGCCAAGAGTTCCAGCCCAGCTTGGGCTATATAGACTCTGCCTCAAAAAATCAGACATAAATAAATAAACTAGATAAAATTTTTTTTTTTTTTTTTTTTGGTTTTCTCCGGTACCGGGAACCGAACTCACGACCTTGCACTTGCCAGGCAGGCGCTTTTGCCGCTGAGCTAAATCCCCAGCCCCTAAACTAGATAAATTAAACTTTGTGTAAATCACCTTTGCAATACTATAACAAAATACCCCAAACAATCAGTTTATAAGGAGAAAAAATTGGAGCTCAGTTTGGGAGGTTCAGTCCATGATGGTTGGACCCCATTGCTCTGTGGCCAGGCAGTTCATCTTGGCTGGAGCATGTGATGAAACAAGCTGCTCACTTCATTGTAAGGTAGGGAGCAAAAGAGAAAGGGGGTCGGGCATAGTGGTGCAACCCTGAAATCCCAGCACTCAGGAGGCTGAGGCAGGAGGATCACCACGAGTTTGAGGCCAGCCTGAACTGCATAGCGAGACCTCAGCTCAAAAAAAAAAAGAGACACTATCAAGAAAATGAAAAATATCTCACAGAATGAAAGAAAATTAAATATCTGCCAGATGCTCTCAATTCCTGGATAAAAGCCATCGACCTAACTTTAAAACTGAAAAAGCACTTGGACAGACATTTCCCCCAGGTAGATATGTGAACAATGGGCACATGGAAGCCGCTGGGGTGAGTCACCAGGGAAATGCAAATGAAAGCCACAGC